TTTTTTTTTTTTTTTTTTTTTTTTTTTTTTTTTTTTTAAATTTTTGTTGAATGGAAGGTAAACAGGTGAAAGGACACCAACTTGTTGCCATTTGTATGACCTTAAAAGCATTGTGGTATTACCCAAGTGCTTTTGTAGAAGGCTCTGTTGTCCTTTTACTGATTGGGAGAATATGATCCTGACAAGGGGGTTGTTAGATGAGCCTGTGCTCCCCTCTCCTCGGGAAGGAAACCTGAGCAACTTGCAGTGTTTGAAATCCTGTYCCGCCTATCCCAAAAGCATGTTGCTTGGTTAGCAACTCTAGCAACAACCCTGAAAAACTTGTTAATGCTTTTTCAATTTAGGAAAGCTGTGGATGTTTACAAGAAACCGACGAAATGTTTCTTCCATGGAGACCATGGCTATGACAATAAGATAAACAGCATGCAGGTATGAGCCGTAACCTTTAGGGGTGGGTYGTGGTGGCAGAAGAAATCAGAGGTCTTTGAAATGTAAATATTCACTGATAAAATCAACTGTTTAACTCTCTTCTTTTGTATTCTCCTCTCTTTTTTTTTTTTCCCCCCCCTAAAGACTGTCTTTATAGGTTATGGACCTACATTTAAATACAAGACCAAAGTACCTCCTTTTGAAAATATTGAACTTTACAATGTCATGTGTGGTAAGCTACCTGCTGGATGAATTGTGAAAGAAGCTTTAGCTAATGGGGTTTTCAAGGATCCACGTAGGCACACGAGGGGTCATGTCCTGACTCCTTCTCTCCATCCCATCCCTGTCCTCTCCTTTTTGGGCACTCATCCTTTGGCTAGGAGGGCGGAATGGGTTTTTCAGGGGTTTTCAGAGGTTTTCCCTCATTTTTTTGGTATTTTGTGATTAAAAAAAATAACTCTCCCTTAGTCACCATAAAACCAATGACTAGTAAGTCTATGTTCCAGGTGGTTGGTGTGAAGGTCTCCAAATCGCCTCCTGGTTTACACTGAAATTAGAGTAGTAGTGAAATAAAGCTGTTTTCCAAAATGTTCATTCAAATGAACCTCCTTGTCATTAAGACTACCATACTATTCAGACAAGACTTGAAATTTAATGATGTGGGCGAAAGGTTAGCATTTTGGTTGCATTAAAAGCATCTATTAGCATGTCATAGAGACTATTGCAAATAAATTGCTTAGTTCAGTAGATAYTACTAAATGCGTATTTGCAATCTAACCGTCTAACCATTTGCTTGATGTTTTCACAGATCTACTTGGATTAAAGCCTGCTCCCAATAATGGAACTCATGGAAGTTTAAATCACCTGTTGAGAGCCAATGTTTATAAACCAACCGTGCCAGATGAAGTTGCTAAGCCACTCTACCCTGTAGCTCTTCCGTCTGCGTCAGATTTTGATATAGGATGTACGTGTGATGACAAGGTAGATGTTTAGCATGTGCTGATACTTTCACTATTAGCAGTAATTACCTAATACAGTTATAGCCTTATTATTGTATTTTAGAGGGCTTGATCTATAAGAATCCCCCAGATCCTTCCTATGAAGCGGTCTGTGCCCTTTTGAAACAGTTAATGCTACTTGYGTACAAGAAACAATGAAATTGTCAACGTTTTATAGCACTAGTTTTGTTTGCTAGATACCTAGTAAAACAAGATGTCAGAATGCTCCAGTGATCCTAATCTTGTTCCTTTTTTCTRTTCCTGGGAAGAACAAGTTGGATGAACTCAACAGGCGCTTTCATGTTAAAGGAACAGAAGGTGAGAACCTGGCAATTCAGTTAATAAAAGTTATTTTKATTTTCCTTTGCAAGCTAGACTGCATTGCTAATACCAGATCAACATGTATTTTGGTTTAATATTATGCAGTAGACGATCCTTTCAAATAACTATCAAATTAGCTCACAGTCATAAGACTAAGTGCTGCTCATGTGAGGAAATGCATGTTGTATTTGCCATAACCAGGGCCAAAGTATCACTCAGTGTGATACAAGTTTTAGCTCTTGCTTTCCATCACCATTTGAGAGCATCACCTCTGTTGTGGAAAGGAGAGGGAGCACAACACAGGACACCGTTCAGTTGCAAGCAATAAGTGCAGGAAAAGGAACATGTACCATATTTGCACGCTGTTTTACCACTGCTGTGCACTCTTGGGTTTCACTTGGTCACTGGTAAAAAGGACAGTGTGGTTCCTTTGCAAATGACTGGCTTCATAACGCTTAGTWTTTGGGATGCAGGTTATTTGCTAAACCAGAACATAGGTACAATAGCTTCGGATCAATATYTCTTCCAACAAAAAAAAGCACCCCTCACTCTCCAGGAGGCTGATCCTGTGCCCTCTTTGCTACGTGGCAGCATCAGCACTTGTGCTCCTGTGCCATCACCAGGGTATTAGATCAAACGGAAACCTCGAAATAGAATGAGAAGCCAGAGAAGAGGGGAYGGGAGCTGCTCTGGGGAGCAGCACTGCTGTCTGACAGGCACATCAAAGCACAGAGTTCTTTCTTTCTTTCTTTTTTTTTTTTTTTCTTGAGGTTGTGATCCAGTTCAGCATAACAAATTATATCATTCCCTTCCTGCAGCCTCGTAAATTTTCGAGCTTTGTCTTTAGACATGGACTTAACATACTTCAAATCATATGGATAAGGAGATTTAAAAAGGAAAAAATTCTCACGAAGCTGCTGCTCCTTCGGTTTTACTACAGCAAACTGGCAGTACAGCCAATGCTTTAGTTTCTGTGGTTGGATCTGTTCCTTTTTTTTTTTTTTTTTTTTCTGCCACTTTAATAGCCTTTTTGCAGCTTTTCTCAAAACATAAAGTGCTAGATGAGCCATGTAAAATTTGTTGACATTTTTATTACACGCATTGTGCTGCAATAACTTCTCCTAAGCTTGTGTATATACTGCAAGAGAAAAAAAAATCCAAAAATACAACAAATGCCACTTTTTATAAAAGATTAAATGCAMTGTGTAAGAAAAGGTCTTTTATAGGCTTTCATCTTGTTAATCTCATCTTTTCAATTAGTGAAGAGTGGTTCTCTGCTGTCATGGTTTCTGGCAATGGGGAAAACAATCAATGTACTAAATGTCTCAGCAGCTTTATTTTGCTCTAGATTCTGAAGCTTTTTTATTTTAGTAGTATAAAATTAATCTTTTRGTTGAAATTTAAGAAACACTATTTAAATCAATTTCAGTTGTTTATCTCTATGTTGTTTATGAACTGGCATTAAGGGCCTCTTATTTAAAAGACAAACATTTCTAATAAATACAAGTCGATCTGTTTTATTTAAGGACGGACTTTTGCACATGTTCACAAATCTTCCTGAATATAGTCRGTAATTCCCTTCTTTCCAGGCATGAACTATGGATCTTTAGCTGATGTTGTTACTCATAAGCAGAAGAAAAATATTCCTTTAGCTCCTCTTGGATAAAGGAAGCATATGACCCTTTTTAGTCGAGCCTTGCTCTTCTTTTCTTTCTTGTGTGCTATAAAAATAATTCTGTAGTTGGATTCAAAAACTAATAAACATGCCCTCTTCCTCCAGGTTAAATTCCTATCAGTAAACAGTGTTAGGCTACTTACCTTGTTTCTATGTTTGATTTCCAAAAGCAAGCCAAGACTGCTTTCCAGATGTTCAAATTGATGAATCATGCAGCACAAGGGAAGATTTGCCAAGTTTTTTTTTTTTATTATTATTTTAATGATGTTTTTGTCCTCCTATAAGTGAGCTTCTATGAGGTAGCTTGTGATACTTAACAGCATCGTGCCTCCACTACAAAGGAAAAAAACAAGTTTTGCTGAGTTGAAGATGTTTTTTTGGAACCAAAGTTAGGAAAAGGTTTTGTTTGTTTGTTTTTCTTTCATGTTACTGAGAGAAAATAACACAGCAATCTTTAGAATAATGTCCTTGGCAGCCAAGTGGGGAAAAAAATTGTTTCAGTGAGTGAGCAACTTTGCCTTTTTTTTTTTTTTTTTTTTTGAGAGAGAGAGAGAGGTGGGGATTTTCTGCTCTGCAGAAAACAGAGTAAAGAGAGAAAGTCTGGAGAGCAGAAGCAGGGAGTAATGATACCATAGTCCAGCTTAAATCCACATGAAAAGTATTTTTCACCTTATGTGCAGCAGAAATGTGGACCCAGGGACCGTTCTGCAGTGTCATGTGTTGGGGGAAATTGCCTCTTTCCATGTTCTGAGCCATTTCCATGCTTCAAGAGCCATTTCTAAACAAACATTTATGACCTTGACAAGCTTTCAAATGCAGAAGGGGACCTGCAATCTGAAAGTGGGTTGGGAGCCTGGAAAGAGGATTCCAACCAAAAATATGTAAAAATTACTGCTTTCTCTATTATAAGGTTTCCTTAGCAGTTGGAAAGGACTAGGATCCCATTGAGGATGACTCAAAATTCAGCATGTTTGAAGGATTTTTTTTCCATGTTTAAAATTTTCAGCAGTTAATTTAAATGTAATTTCTATTGATTTGTAGAGAGGCACCTTCTTTATGGGCGCCCTGCAGTGCTGTATCGCACAAAATACAACATCTTGCATCACCATGACTTTGAAAGTGGCTACAGCGAAACRTTTCTGATGCCTCTCTGGACATCTTACACTATTTCCAAACAGGTCAGTGCTTTATCTGCTCTTGGAATTCGCTTGAAAAATGATGGTAAAGTTTGCTTCATAGCTATATTTCTGAGGTTTAGAAATCCCTCTTCCCTAAATAGAATTCTCTGCTAGAAATGATGCRGAATAGTATTGAAAATAACAAATTCCTTATTACCTTCAGAAGATGATAGTTTTTAAGGCAGGGGATTGTGTATTTAATTTCCTGTTTTCATCTCCTTTCTAAGTTTTTCTCAGTGGAATTACTTTCTTAATAACTTTTAGCAATAGATGCAGGAATTGCCTTTCTTCAGTGCATGTCTTTCAATGCAGGCTGAGGTATCTGGCATCCCCGAGCACCTAAGCAGTTGTGTGAGGCCTGACCTGCGCATTTCTCCAGCAAACAGTCAGAGCTGTTCAGCCTACAGGGGCGACAAGCAAATATCCTATGGGTTCCTGTTCCCTCCTCGTAAGTTGACATGGAAAGTCTGCAGAATTGGTTTCTGTGCCGGGGCAAACATGGGGATGGGGTGGATAGACCTTTCTGCCTGCATTTGCTCAGGACCAAAGGCTTGATACCATGGGCTGGCATCACATCTRTGTGGGTTGAGGGGATGGGAGTGAAGGAAGACGGGATGGCGACAGCATTCAAACAAGAAGAGCGTCATCAAAAGCTGATCCACCCTTTGATCCARCAGGCGAAGGCTGGAAGTTGAATGTAGACGAAGTGACAAAGTGATATTTGAGTTGTCACTAACAGTAATGCAGCTAATAAGCTTCCAAAGGCCAATCCTTAAATCAAATCCATGAGCAAAGACCATGGTATATGGAGCAAGGTGTTCCCTGCTCATGGTAATGCACAGAATTATATGACTACCACAGTGCTCCTGTCTGGACTCTAAATCAGCAAGTAAGGAGTAAGGACACAAAGATGGGGTTCCTGTAGCTTTTAATCGGGAGACATGGGGGGAGAAATCTTTGACTACAAATGTTTCACATTTCTTCTTTGAAGTTGTTGCCTGGACACCAGTTTGTGCCAGCCGAGAAAAGAGCTATTTTTAATTCAAAGAGCAGAAAGATAAATGTACATCTAATTTATAAATCCACATGGGACTATTATATAGAAAAATTGAAAAAAGTTCTGTTGTCATATCAAAGCAATGAGAATATTAAATCTCTAAGAAGGAGCCTTGCATAGTCTGCTGGTGCGTTACCTTAGTTCAGTCTTGGGGCAAATTGTGGTCTCCTGAGCTTAGTAAGTGCTCGAAGGGCACAACAGGAGTGTCTGGCAGTTGTGACTGCTTTGCTCTGTCTTCCTCACTTGGTTGCTGAAATACTTCAAAGAGTGGATCTGTGATGTGGAATTAGTGGTGCAGGAGGCTTGCTCAGAGCGAGGGGATAATCTGGCCGTCTTTGCCCTGGAAACTATGTGTCTACTTTGCAAAAGCAAGCGGAACAACTCTGTGATTTCAGAGACTGCAAAACTAGAGGAACTGTAAATCTCTTTTGAAATTTCACATCCAGCTATCACATGAAAGTAAGAATAAATTTTATGCATGTAATGTGCAATTCTGAATAAAGATTTCAAATACCTATTTAGAAGACCCTGTTCCTTTCCATTCACTGTTCCTTTCAATTCACTGTTCCTTTCAGTGCTGCTGAAAGTTGTTTTGGAAAGCGTTTCTGTGTTCCTTGAATTTTTTAAACTTCAATTTGTATTATTTCTCTGTTTTATTGCTTTTAGAATTAAGTTCCTCTGCAGAAGCCAAATATGATGCCTTMCTAATAACAAATGTCATCCCAATGTATCCTGCCTTCAAAAGTAAGTGCCATTTCTATGGTCTTTCTTCTCTTTCTCAGGCTTATTGTAATTTTATGCAATGATATGCCTGTAAAACTACATTAAGAATTGATAGGAGAAGTTTAGAACATAAATATCACGTAGATGCAACCAGGTCAGTATGGATAAGCAAACTAGCAGGTGAGATTTTAAGCTAATAATATTTTCCTTGAATCCAGACTAAGATAGGAGTGGAGACCTGGTCAGCAATGTAGCTCAGCAGCTGCACTCCATGCCCCAGGAATTCRGTTTGCAAAAGATGATTCAAATTTTCCTGTTTGTACACCAAATTATTGCAGCATATGCTTAAGCATATGCATAGACCAAAGACATTTATTCCCCAATAAAGAAAAGGGAAGAGGAAACCAATTTATGGAAAAATGAAGAATGATTTAAAACCAGATGAAACCTTCTGTGCTCTATGAATATTATGTTAACATTTCTTTTGTCTGCACGTCCCTTTTTTTCTCTAGCATTGCCAAGAAGYAGGAAAACCATCAAACTATTCTGGTGGCATTTTTGGCTTGGCAGGACCTGGGAAACCTTGGAAGAATCACAAGAGCCTTTTCTTGTGAGATTTCCAATTCAGATTTTAGGCCAAAGAGGTTTGGATAAGCATCAAAGCATATGGGAGGCTTTTTTTTTTAACCAAAAAAAGTGTTTGTAACCCAAGTCCTCTGAGTAGGAACAAGTGGTGATGTTTGCTGGAAATTTGAGCAAAGGCACATAACTGATTACAGAGTGTAAAATTATTGGGGAATTCCCGCTCTGAAATCATAATCTATAAAAACACTTTTTCTGCTAATGCTAATTTGAACAAATTAGCCGAGTTGCTAGTCACTGCAAATGATTGTTGCTAATCACTTGCAGCTTGCAGTTTGCTAATCACTTGCACCTTGCAATTTGCACTTGCAAAAGAGCAAATTCCCATAGATTCCCTAAGAATAAATGTTGGAACTAACGTAATTCCTAAGGAATTATAACTCCTACAGCTGTGCAGGTTGCAATGCAGAGCACCAAAACCATTCATTATATGGAAGTTTTCACATGTAATGGAATATGAGATGAGAGTTTTATACCTCAGTGGCTCTCATGGCAGTGCTGACTGCACAAGCCCTCTCTCTTGCTTTTATTTATTCATACATGTAAATATATATATATTTACACACATAGAATTATTGCCTGAAGGAGGACAACAAAGTTTATATATTTATATAAAGTTAAAGTATATATAAATATATATTTATATTTATATATAAATATAAATATATATATATAAATATATATATAAAAATATATATATTTTTATATATTTTTATATATATATATTTATATATATATTTATATATATAAGTATATATATTTATATATATATAAGATAATTATATATATAAATATATATATATATTAAATATATATATAATTATCTTATCAGTACTGAGTCTGGCTGAAGCACTTCCAGTTTCTGGGAGCWGCAAGTTCTTTTCCCTGTGCTGGCTCCTTGTTGCTGTCTATGCTGCTGTGATGGAAATGCAGATGGGAAACTGCATTGCAGTGGGAAAATCAGAATAAAAATGCTTTTCTTGTTGAGTTATTTTACTGTTCAGGCTGTTGCACTGGTGGAGTGAGCAGCCAGAAGAGGCTGTCAAACAGTTGCTGCAGCTGCAGTTCTTATKAGACACTGTTTGTGGGGTCCTCTTGAGCAATAGGTTCATATGGCACTGAATAGTCTTAAGGAAAAGAAATAAAATGCACTRGAGCACTGGGGAAAGGAGGGAAGCTGTTTAAACTGGCATTGGCATTAGTACTGAGRAATCATGGAATTATGTCTGAGTTGGCAAAACAAGAGTTAAGCTTTGTCAAGTTTGGGATGCTTTGTTTAGACAAGCTGTTAATATATGCATTTTAAAAAAGGACAAAAATGATGTAACTGGAGATCCCATCTCTATACCTGTAACTTGTTAAAGTTGAAAAGTGTGTGGTAGGATGTGTCCTGCTCTTTCCAAAAGTTGTGGTTAAAACTCTTCTCTAGGCAAGACATGCCTGGATGCCGTACTGTAATTTGTTCATACCAGGCTGCACCTAATTTAAAAGCTAGACATTTTGTATCCAAGAAGAATTTAACGGAAGAATACGACCTTTGTATTAGCCTTTGTTTTAAAATGATTGTTTTTTTGCTTTTAGTCATCGTATTATTTTCTGTTTAGAAGGAAAAAAAAAGTAGCATCAGTCCCTGGAACCAGATAAGAAAGACAAAGSAAGTGTTCATAAGGACATCAGAAGTGTATGTGTGCGAATAGCTGTTTCTGCTGCTAGTGGTGGAACAACAAACTCTCTGTCACATCTATCACAATGCCAACCATAGAATGGTACTGTGCATTTCCTTCATCACTGATTGGAAAAAAAATCAATAGAGAAAGGTCTGAATAAGCTTTATTGGCCAAAACTGAATGAATCTGTAGTAAATCTGTAATGCTTATCCTTTGATTTGTTTAAACATAGGTTGAGTGGTGTCCGCTGAGTTTTTAACTCCATGCAGAAAAAAACAAGATTATTCATAAAGCAGACATGATTTGATTCAGCCAAATCATATTCTGTTTGTTTGTTTTTCCCTGCAGAGGTATGGAATTATTTCCAAAGAGTTTTGGTGAAGAGATATGCCACTGAACGAAATGGAGTCAATGTTATAAGTGGACCGATCTTTGACTATGACTATGATGGTTTACATGATACACCTGACAAAATAAAACAGTAAGAGTTTAAATTGATTTGCTATTCCTTCACTTAATGATGCCTTTAGCTTAAGCTATTCAGTATTTTCACATTAATTTTAGAGAGGCAATAGAGAATGCTAGCTTGAGCCATTGACTGATTATCATTTTTTAAAGCAAGTAAACCACTAGATAAACTATGTGATTTCCTGACTCTTTTTTTTTTCTTCAAGACCCTTATGAATAGGGTAATTAAAAATACAGAGGTGGCAATTCACTAGATAATTCTTCACTTTGATTTTAAAATCAAGTTCTTATTCATCCTTCCAATGAAACAAATTTATGTTTCAGATAATKTTTTTTTTCTTGAAATTTTCTAGAACTTACGAGTGGGCAGCTGGMTATCAGAGCACATCATAGTGTTATTGGGTTAGATATTCAAACTTTTTCTGAATTCAATGGTGCTTTCTGCCAGTACTCCTGAACTGAAGAAACCTTTTAGAAATCCACATGTGGTATTTCCATGGCACAGCATCAAAACATGAGCTAACTGAATGCTTATTTTAAGACTGAGCTTAGTAATAAACACAGCTCGACAAAATACATATGTACCCACATGTAAGGGAGGGAAGATGGTATTGTTTGTGTAACCCCTCCTTCAGAAAAGGTTAATTCTCTACAGGTAAATGTTTGCTTTATCTGTGGTGATCTCCTCTTCCACCGCAGGTTTGTGGAAGGCAGCGCCATCCCTATTCCAACTCATTACTACAGCATCATAACCAGCTGCTTAGACTTCACTCAGCCCGCTGACAAGTGCGACGGGCCGCTCTCCGTCCTCTCCTACATACTCCCCCATCGGCCTGACAACGACGAGAGCTGCAACGTAAGTTCGGCGGGGTTCTGCTGCGTTATTGCAGCCCCGTGATAAATACAACCATGGGATGAGCAAAACCAGTTACAGGTGGAAGAGGATGGCTTGCTGATGTCTCAAGTGAAACCACGGGGCAGTGACTGTGTCGTGTGCTTGAAGTGTTGTGTTCTGCTCATTAGACAGGAACATGCTTAATGCTTTCATGCTTAATGTGGGTATCAGAGGAAAGGTAGAACTGTTACTGAGCAATAAAATCTGGAAGAGCTGACAACGGGTGAGCAGGCAGCAGGTAGCACTTCTGGCACTTGCAGGCTTGCACGTTTTGCTAGACTGTGTCAGTGTAACCCCAGAGCAGGCTTGGGGGAAGGCTCTGTGCCCAGCATGTGTTGTGGTGGTGGCAAGACCAATGTTTTTTTATTGAGGTCTATTTCTATATGCAGGTAGAATATAGTTGTTCCAGAGTGTGTGTGCTCCCTAAGGATAGAGTGCCAGCTCTTTGGCACTCTAAGGATAGAGTGTCCAASCATTGCTGTCAAGGGTGAAGTTTATATTCCCTTTAGCAACGCTCATGGTGATGAACAGACACTCTCCTGGATAGAGTGTCCAAGCATTGCTGTCAAAGGTGAAGTTTATATTCCCTTTAGCAACGCTCATGGTGATGAACAGACACTCTCCTGGTTCCATTTTCATATTCTTTTCAGATGAAAAAGCATAAAAGACTTGGTGAAATATGAAGGATTGGGTTTGGTCAGAGCTTTAGAAAATAACACCAAATATTCTGTGGCTGATCATGCAGCAGGAGAGCTGGTRCTGTCCGCATGGGTTACTGCGCTCCGCAAGGACAGCGGTCATCCCAGGCAGCTGTATTCTGCCTTGTCCTTCCGCCTGAACTCGTCCTGCCGTTGCACAGCTGTGTGGATTCCTGCGCACAGACTTGTCACTATGGGCTGCCAGGAGTCTGCTTCCTGACTGAACACATTAGTGTTACAAGTTTTGTATTGGCACGAGGAGTGAAAACTTCTTTTCCAGCTAGAAGCAGAAATAGTCATTCCGACTCTGTACACGATTCACCTGGAACAGTGTCTCTTTCTCATTCATCAAACATCGCTTGTTTTCAGGTCTCTCTCTTTAAAAAACAAACTTTTGGAGCCATCCCCCTCTCTTGAAGAGGTCTGGCTTCCTCCTGTTTAGACTCTTAACTGCTTTGGGCAAAGCTGTCTTCTGTGGGAACATTCAGAAAATCCTGCATATATTTCATTGAGAGTTTTCTATGGATGCTTTTCCYGCTGGACAGTTGAATCAAGGTCCAATTAGTGCCTGTGCCTTCTGCCTTGCCATATGTGATTTTATGACAAAGTCCTTTGTTTATGTACTTATTTATTTATTCWTTTCTCTCCCTACGTTGTGCTCTAACTGGATGGTGTCATTGTCCTCTTAAACAAAGCAGCTGAACGTTTTTTACTTTCAAGCCCAGGTTTTGCAGTCATATGTAGACTCTGCTACATATGGTATATATATTTTCAGTTTTGTGTGTGATTTTAGTGCTGCTACCCACTCATTAATGCATAATATTTTATGCTTGACATAGAAAAGAACCGCTACAAAAATATTTAAATGCAAGTCTTCAATAGTTAGGCAAAATTTTGATGCTCATGCACTGTCAGTTTTACTCTTGCACATGGTGTTGCATCTGGTTTATTCAAAGAAGTGACTGTGTAAAACCTCAAAAGCTTCATGGATGAAATACTTGAGGATTTTCCCTCAACCTCCTCAACCTCAACTCTCCACAGCTTTCTTTTAAGATCTGTAGAAATACTAKYTTCCCACCTCTGCTCTTGTTGCACACACTTTCTCKCTCTCTCTTTGTATGGCCATTGGAGAACACGGCTACTCTTCTCATTAGAATTTGTATGATTTCCAAACTCTGTTTATTCATGGTGAGGTTATACTCATTTCTTCTTGAGTCAACAKTTTTCTATGGCTTTCTATGACTTCACTGGGCTTCTTTGGGTTTTTACCCTCCTGATGATTTATGAGTATACTCTAGCTCTATACCTGTCTATTCACAGGAGACTCAGGCTCATTTTTGCTCCTCTTGCAAGAGAGAATAAGCATTTTAGTAGCCTTCCTACACATTTATTCATTTATGCTTGAATTTCTTTTGGGACATGAATGACAGAAAATATTCCATCTGAGATCTCAAATGAAAATGGTACTCTTGCGCCTGGCCCTGGCTCTTYTGATATTTTCTAGGATTTGCTTTTTCCACAGCTGTATTATAATAATGGTGGCTCACCATCATCCTGCCATAAATAAGCACACCCATGTCCACACACAGGAGCTCCCCACTGTGTTTTGTTGGCATTCTGAATGACCTTGGCACAAAAAACACGTATGGAAATATTAAATAAAATCAGTTCCAAGACCATACTTGCAAGAACTTTGCTATAAATGTCCTCCACACCACCATTTTCCCTTTCAGCAGGTTCTTTAAATACCTTGTTTAAAAGCCATGTCCTGAGCCACCTGTTTATACTCTGAGCATCTTCAGCTTTCTAACTAGTAATTTCTCAGATTGTAGATACCACGGAGAYTGATATTACTGAAATTCCTTGGTTTACAGTATCTGGTATCTTTTCAAATAAATTTTATGTTAGCCTCCTATTTTATTACCTGTTTCTATTAACTCCATATCTTCAGTTGTTTTTTTTTTCCTTCCAAGACTCACCAGAAGTCTTATTATTGAGGTCAGACTAATTGGCGGAAATGGAGAAAATAGTATCATTTTAAATATAAACACTTAACCAGTTGTTTTGTACTGTTAGTTGATCAATGTGTTTAAAACCTTGTTCCTGGACCTGAGATTTCATGGGTCAGTTGTAAGATGGAAAAACTAAAATACAGATTAACTGACTGATTTTCTAGGGTTATGCAAATGTTCTCTTGCTACTTGGTTTAAAACCCAGCTCACAGTCCTCTGATTTATTGACATTGTAGTTCTTTGCAAACTTCTCTGAGTCATCCTTGTACTCTAAAAACTGATCTTTGTAGCAATGGGACTTCCATCAGAGCTTTATAGAATGCAGATTTCCTGTTTAAAAGGAAGGCTTGAAGACAGGAAGATGTCACAGTAATTACATTTACAGTAGTAACCTCATTTAGGCCCATCTGCAGATGAGCAACCCAATGACCAGACTGAACACTGAGCAAGGGATTTCCTGGGGCTGTGTGCTGCCAAGCCCTGTTCCTGGAGCACGAGCCCCCTGAGGAGAAGGAGCAGAGCATGTTCCTTGCTTTTTTTCCATTCTAACTTGCATCTCTCATTTCATATTTCAGACGTGGTTTTGGGCCTCAGGTTGCTATCAACATGGAGAGGAAAAGGCAAAATGGTTTTGGAGCTAAAAAAGCTTCCTGTATCAAAACAGCTGGGTGCTTGGCTGGTCATGGACATGCATTTTAGAGCAGCTGGCTGTAACCTTGGTTGTCCTCTCTGTGCAAACCATCATGCTCATCTTCCTGGCTTTTGCAGCCTGGTCTGTGGYGCTTCCTCTGCTTTGGGTAGTCTCTGCGTTCCTGAAGCTTGGTTTTTGTTTTTATGAGAGGACCCTTTCTTGGGAGGACCTTGTAAAGGCAGTTGAAACGGAGTGAATTCAAGAGTAGGTGCAGAAATGTAGGAATTTTGTTGTGTATAGTTTTTGAACACTCTGGGTGCAGATCTCCKGCCCCTAACGCGAGGCTTCCTGCCAGCGGTGCTGATGTGCCCGTCTGTGAGGCCRAAAGGGGGAAAGTCCTGTTTGCTCTGTGCTTTTCCCACGTCTGCTCCCAGCCTTGCAGTTGTAGGTGCTGCTTGTCCTGTTCCTGGAACATTTCGCTAGGCTGATTTAGGTCACTTCAACAGCCAATAACTGCTCCGGCCTGATTTTCACATTTAAAAATAAAGGTTAAATTTGTGGATGTCACAAATTTACACAAGCAACTGGGAGGAGGGTAGCAACAGGAAGCAGAGGAGGAGCTGCCCCTTTTGGAGCTCTTGTGTTGGTTCTCTTGGACTAGTCCCCTAGGAGATCGTCCATGTGCATCCACGCAGCCCAAGATGAACTGCAGATGACTCTGGGAAAATCACTTACTTGATTCTTTCATGAGAAGAAAGCATTTAGTCAAAATATTTTTTCTATCGTAAATAATATATATGTTTTAATTACAGTATTTTACAGGTACCATCATAAACCTTAGCCTCCTTATTGACTTTAATCATAATGGTCTATTAATGGTAGATGGAAAGGTTAGAATATGTGCTGATTAGGTGAGAATAAGGCACGGGGAGAGAGTTCAAAAATAAACAGCCTGGTAATACACAGTGACTGATAAATATGAAGTTCTTTCCGCAAGATAAAAATTATAAAATGACTTGTGGATCTTCTCAGAGCAGTACACCTGCTTTTTGGAAACACCTGCAGTGTTGAGTCAGCTTCTCACAGGTGACTCTGGTCCTTGACTCAGCTCATGTCCTAAAATGGGTCCTGAAATAAATGAGATCTGTAGAGATGATCATGCATGTAATGTTTCAAGCTTGGTTCCTGTGAACCCATTTACCTTATGCTTCCTTTAGGGCACCTTACCTTAGTTACTCGTGAGTAATGCTCAGAAACTGTTCAACCAAACTTTTAAAAAGGCTATACTTGCTTTTAGAGTTGCTTTTTGCCATGGCATGTTTATTTACACATACATATATATATATATATAATTTTTTTTTTTCTTATTTCAGAGCTTGGAAGATGAATCAAAATGGGTTGAAGATCTGCTTAAGATGCACACTGCACGGGTGCGTGACATCGAACAGCTCACAAGCTTGGACTTCTTCCGAAAGACCAGTCGCAGCTACACAGAAATCCTCTCCCTAAAGACATACCTGCATACGTTTGAAAGTGAAATTTAGCTTTCTAACCTTACTCAGTGCATCCTTTTATCAACTGGTGTATATTTTTATATTGTTTTTATATTTATTAATTTGAAACCAGGACATTAAAAATATTAGTATTTTAATCCTGTATCAAATCTTAAATATTAAAACCTTTTGTCATTTGTTTTGTTTCTCTAATGTTTAATATAGGTATGTTTTTTGGTTTATTTAGTAGCGCTTGTAATACTGCAGCTTGAGTCCTTAGTCCAAGCTTTTAAGTGGTGCTGCAGGATTTGATACATGCAKCAAGGAAATAGTAATTTCCCATGCTCCTTTACCACACTTGTAGTTCTGTATTGTGTATCAAAATACTGAACATGTAAAATTACATTAATTTACTGTTAACTATGTGACAGACATATTTAAACCCTATAGACAAATAGAATCTTAAATAAACCACACATTCAGTTTTTTTAATGTCTTTTGATTTCCTTTCGCAGGGACTCTGAGAGGGACTTGGTAGGAGGCAAGTGCTGCAGGCTCACTCTTATTCACAGGGCAGAGCTGCCTTCCCTTTTCTGCTGAGGCTGGATGTGCTGAGTGAGACTACTGGCAAGAGCTCAGATGACCTGCCGTGATGCTCTGTAACCATAACATGGGTGCTCATGGTGGTCGTTAGTGGCTGGATTTTGCCTGTAATGTTTATATGCCACTGCAGGGGCAGAGCTGGGAGGAGAGGTTGGTTGGCACTGTGGGACAGCAGTTATCACTGGGAGGTGAAAGAGAAGCCCTTCCTAGCCTGATTTTCTGCTTCTCTCTTTCTCTGTCCTCGCCAGCATCTGCAGGCTTTCCCACTGAATTTGGGACTGATTTGTTGGCTTGGGTGCACTGCTACTGAACTTCCCATATAGTGCTTGTGGTTTACGACTGCCGCCAAGTCAAGCCAGTCAAGTCTCCACTGGCTACACCTGTGCAATGAGCATCTGAGATGGTCACTTCATAATCCTGGCAMGCTCCACAGAGGAACACCTATGGCACAGTCCTAGGATGGAAAGGACAGTGCTGTACACGAAGGCCTAGRCAGTGACTTATATATAAGTCAGATGGTTGCAGCAGGCAGCTGGAGTTGTAAATATTTTTACATCTCAGCAATCTACACCTGCAAGCTGCAGGCCTCATGTAAAATTAAACGTGGCACGATTTTAGCAACTTGCACCCATTAGAACCCATCTAAGAGAAACTGCTAAACTGCAATTAATCATCTTAACACTGATACTGGAAGAACTGATTTAATCTTTATCATAGACAAAGTCTAACTAGTTTATGTGCCAAATTCTGGTTAAATTACAAGTGCATAAAACACAAACACTTTAAAATCCTAAAAAAATCTTTCTAATAGCTACACAGAGCTTTGGGAAATGTTCTATTCTTGCAACTTAAAATTTGTCTTTTGTGCTTGTCTGGTAGCACAGAAATAGTTTATTTTTCTGTAAGCTTTCAGCAGGGCTCCCTGCCATGACAAGCTTTACATTCTTACATGTGCTACAAAGGTTATTTCCTTTGGAGTTCAACAGTCTTCAGTTAAGACCGAATTTCTCCAACGTTGACTTTAGCAATAGTATAATATGGATGTTCATAAACTAAACTGAAGACTACTGAATCACCACTACTGAATTGCTTTGCCATTCATCTTTTTTTTTTTTTTTTTTTTTTTTTTTTTTTTTTTTTGTCGGTAATGCAATCAAGCAATTGATGTAAATCCTTTACTTTCTTAGAAAAAAAGTGACATATATAGCAAAAAGACATTTAAGCTGAGAAAGCTAGGCTCCTCTTCACGTATTCAGAGATATTTGCCAAGTTTCTGCTTTGAAGCACAGCTTTTGCTTGGTGCTGAGAGCAATGGTTTAACTTTATCTCAGTTTCACTAGAAAAATCATCATTTAGAGATTAGTGTGTAGGGAAATGTGGTCAAGTTGGCTACTGTCAGAATAAATACTGGTAATTTTCTTCTGTTCTATTTACTCCTCTTGCCTCGTTGTCCCCAAGCTGTTGTATGGTAGTGCTGCTTTATTCCAGTGCATTAGGTGAGGTCGCTGTGCTGGGGAAAGTTTGTGGTGGTTTCTGCAAATTGGGTGTTCCTCTTTCCTGTTGAAAGCTGTCATATCCACCAAAAAGCTCCAGTGCGAAGCTGGAACCTTGTAGAAGCCTCTGAGSAACTCCAGTCTCCAGCAGAAAGAACAGATGTTTTTGAGCCCACTTGTAATTTCCCTTTGGTTTTCATCAGGGTGGATGTTAGCCCAGGACAGTGTGGAGGAAGGAACCTCTCTGCTTTCCGTTCACTTTGGCCACTTCGAAAATAGAAAATACCATTTGCTTGTGTTATGTGTTTCCTGTTCTTGATATTACTTTGGCTTCCTCAAGAGGTCCACTGAGGAGAACAAGTGTTGAATTTGCCTGTTGAGCAAGCACCAGTTTTACAGGCTGGAGTAATAATTGTAAATGGAATAATGGTGTAAATACAAGCGATGTTTTCAGGGTTGGAGGATGCTCAGCCAAGCAATTATTGGAGCGACAGAACTGGCAGACTGGGAAGCGTCTGTCTTGGTGAGCTAACGGTTTGGCTTCATGTGGCTACTGTTCTTGTCTTGTTCCTCATCACCAACTTCTAGTTCCTTTATGGATTTAGATGTTGGAGTTACAAAGGTTCTTGCTTCAACTCAATGAGTGTTCTGGTGGTAGCAGATCAATTTGTATGACATTATAAAGCATTTTCAGCTCCAGAGAAAGATTAGAGAAAAACAATTTTTCAGTCTGTATTATCTAGTGAAGTTTTTCTAGTATTCACATGGATATTGAATGAGTAAAACTAAATACACATATTTAATAGACCAACCTTGCTGTGATCCTGGGGCCTGCAACCAAATAAAGCTGCTGTACTCCCCACTTCTCTGGGCTTCACGTGCAAGCAACTGGTCAGCTCCTCCAGAGGTAAGGAAGATTCCACCAAAGTAAAAGCTTTTAAAGGACAGTTCCCCTTTGGAGTTGTCACTGGTTGCAGGAAAAGTGGGTGAAGTCTAAAAATGTTAGGGCCTCTTTAATGAGGAGAGAGTTCAGGTCTGGCCTGAAAGGCAGAGACTTATAGCAGGTAGAGCTGCATTTCCATGATTGTTCACCTCAATCTCACTTCCACTCCAAACATCTTTAATTAAATGTAAATTCATATTACAGAGCCATGCAGCTCAGATGGACTGCTCTCTGCAGGGGACAGAGGAGATATTGTTCCTGGTGCTAAGCAGCGTGAGAAAAATCCTTTTCTTTTTCTGAAAACTGCACAGTGCCTACTGCCAGCTGAGCCGGTGGACTCTTATAAAATCTGTTCCTTTGGAGACAGTAGATCATGCTAGTTTTCTATCAGTCCAACCCTCCAAAATGCTTGTAGTAGGGTTGGCTTCCTTATCAAAGTCCTTCCATGTTTCCAGAGGAAGATCATGCTCTATGTCCATCCATCCTATCTTTCTAGGGCTGTAGTCTCAGCCCAACTCAGTTTTGTGAATCTGTTTTCCACCTCCCTTGCTGGAGCTGACAAAACCATTGCATCTGATAATCTATAATCTATTATACTCTGGTCAGGATAGACCTGTCAGGAAATGATTAATTCTGAATTAACTGTACAGACTCCAAGTGCTTGAAATGTTTAAAGTTCAGCCCTTGTYTAAGACAAGAGGAAAAAGGCTTTTAAAACATTGTGGAAAAATACCTAATCTCGTTTCTTTGCACTTGTTGTGTAAATATAAGATAAGAACAGTACTCCCAAGGTTACTGCAAACAGCCCATCACTGCAGAGTACAAGCTAACATTTACTAAAATGTATGTTGACATAAAAAGCAGCATTGCTGCAGTCAGCTGCAGTAAACAAAACCACAAGTTTCTTCGACTTTGCAAGTCAAAATTTTGGGATGTACCCTATTCAAACATAGGCCTTCCAAAAGAAAAAAAAAAAAMCTATGCTGTAGCATCCATAGTATGTGCACTGCTCTGTTAAAGCCTTTCCTTGTCCTGATGTTTTCTAAAGATGATAGGAAAAAGCAGGTGGAGGTCACCTTGGTTTCACCTGAAGGCTTCACCATGGAGATCAGCAGGTAAAGAAGGTAGTAATAGTGGATTAGCACATCTGTAACTGATTGACTTTACAACTGGAACTGACTAGAAAAGATGTTGGACTGGTTGGGATGATAAACTCTCAATGGAAAAGGAGGAAACTATCCTCAGAGGATATATTCCCGGGAAGGTTTCTGTTTCCTGGCTCCTGAAAAGTAGGGAGCCATCTAATCTACTGTCCGTGAAGGGCTCTATCTATCATAAGCTGGAGATAGAAGGAACAGGGACCTCATAAACCTTCTTAGTAAATCTTTCCCAGTTCCTGGTCTTTTCTGCCAGCACTCCCCAGACCTTCAAGCTGTTTAGCATCTTCTCTGTCTCCTGAAGTGGGAAACTTCCCACCTTCCCTCTTTGTTCCTAATGTCACCATTTTCTTGTCTCCCTGTTTTCTTCCAAGTCTTATCTGTACCTCTTATTTTGATGCATATTTTTGTTTTTTATTTTTAGTCTTTTCTGTGTGTTTAGCTGTCTGTTGTAGATGGCTGATGTGTGGACACTGATGTTTGGAAGGGCTCTTCAGAATCAACAGCACCTTCTTCTTCCTCCTCCATTGTTTAGCCACGTGCACAGTTGTCGTCAAATCTCTCATTTAGTCAGATGCTGCCACAGGACTGCAAATGTCCCCCCATGTTCAAGGGCTAACAGTCTGGAGTCTTCTTGCAGCTTACTTTTAAGGGTCCTTGAGTAAATGAGAGTAGGAAGCGGGTCACAGGCAGTGTGTTATCTTCTGGCAGGCAGTACAAAATCCATATGAGCTGCAGACTGGTCAGATGTTAACAGTCCTTTCCCAGAAGAAAAAACAAACAAACAAAAAAGGCAATCTCCAAACATTATTCACTAGCCAAAACTCCTTTGGCTTGGGAGGTGCTCAGTCCTCCAAACTGGCGATACCTAAATATATATCGCTCTATCAGAAGCCTTATTATTAAGGATTCTCTCAGAGAAAGAAGTGGAATGCAGAAATATAGACCCTTTTGTTTCTGTTTTGTTGAAGAAGAAAACCATTGTCCATAACATGCCCAGCTGACCTAGCAGGATTCCAGTCTTACTCCATAACTTTCATCTTCCATGTTTTGTGATCTCTTCCTAAACTTTCTCAAAAGGTTTCCATATGCATTCATGAAACCTGGGAGCCCTCCTGTGGTCAAAATCATGAGCTATTCTTGTTTTTACCCCAAATCTGATGTAATTCTTAATTTACTTTAAAATATTATCCATTAGTCATTGAGAAAAGTTCTACTCAGTTGAGAAATACAGATGTTTGGATGGTTT